AATTATAATCATGGCCTCGTATTAGATAAAAATATTTTGAAGCATTTCATTAGAAATGCATCTACACTTACAGTTTTCTATTAGTCCCTCCATAAAGACTTAACCACTTGCCCGGCCTATAGTCAGATGAAGGCTGGGCGAACACTTCATCCCTGCAGGAGGGCGTCATATGACGTCCTTCCCAGGTCATGCTCTGTGCGTGCTCGCAGGGCCACACTATGGTGAGATCTGTCACCAGCCGTGTACCTTTGACACGGGCAATGACAGATCTGTGTACCGGCCCTGTTGCCAGTACCATGTGACCTGCTGTGACCAATCACAGCAGGTCACATGACAGTTGTATACAATGCATGGCTTGCTTTCATGCCATCCTTTGTATACAACTGTGTCTAGCTGTGAATGGTCACAGTTATCACATGCATAGGCTGGGCCAATCACAGCCCATCTGTGTCATGTGATTAGCCATGGCCAATTTCAGCTAATCACAACAAAAAAAACCCTGAATGAATCGTTTTCACTCAGTTAAATGCTTGCTTATAGCAAAGAAATTATTTGCTATAAACAATCAAATTGTGTAAAAAAAAAAAAATACTGATCACTTCCCCAAAGTAGTACAATGTGACTATGGTAACATTATACTACTTTGTTCATAGTGAAATATGAAAACAAAAATCTTAAAAAAAAGAGAAAACATTTAATGAAAAAAATTAAAATTTTAAATAAAAAAAAAAATCATTTTTTTCGTACTATCCCCAGTCAGTGTCCCTGATCACCACCACACCAGTTATATGCTGGTGCTGTACTTCACTGGTGACAGTATGTAAAAAAAAAAATTGTGAAAATAATTTTTTTAATTTCTTCATTTTCTGAAAAATTATGACAAAAAAAATACAACAGTGTGTGGATCATTGAAGGAATGCCACGGGACCTCCCTCTGTCAGAGCATTTTTTGTGTCTCTGCCAGAGGGAAACTTTTTTATCTATACCTTGGATGTGTTATCCCCTGGTGGCCTAAATGAAGAGCTTGAAATAAGCTCCATTTTATAGAAACATTCGCTTCCTTCCAAATGGTGGTTATAAATATCAACACACTATCCTTATCAGGGGCGGACTGACCATTTGGAAACTCGAGCACTGCCCGAGGGCCCGGGGTCAGTAAGGGGCCCCATGAGATGCCCCTGGTACCTTTTTCATAGGCTTTTTTGAGTTTGGGCAAGGACACAGGGGCCCCATGATCTCCTCATGCCTGGGGGCCCCATAAGTTGCCAGTCCGCCCCTTATCCTTATACAGCTGTTTGTACTTTTTCCAACTAATTTAGGTATATCCCTTCTTTATCCCTCTCTCACTTAACTACGATCCCTTTTAGTACATCACAAAGGGATAATAAGGAGATACATAAAATTCACATACTATTATAGCAAGCCCATTTATTAAAATGCATTTTTATTAAAATGCGTTTTTCAAACTTTGTTTTTATTTTGCTTTTATATTTATTTCTACTATTTTTTTATTTATGTTACAATAATCTACCTTTTTCATTACCTCATTGATTTATTCATTATTATTAATATTTATTTTCACCTCCATTGTTCCATTCTATTTATTTTTAGATTTAATTGTCATTTTCTATTTCCCTTCTATCGAATATGCAATTTTTTTTAGATATATGTTATTATATGTATACATACACACTCGTATACTTTTTAACCCAAAAGCATTAGAGCTATTCTCTCGTGTGTTTTTATTTCTATTTTTATTTCGGTTTGTATATCTTTTTTATACTTGTTTTAATTCCTGTACGATGCAGGAAAACATGTAGGTCCTTAGGACCCAGGAATTACTTTCCTCCCTCCCATTCCCTTTACACTATAAAAATGTCAGGGTTCTACTGGGGCTCAGGTCTGAAGAAGGAGCCTATTGAGCATGCTCCGAAATGCATTACCGCCCCCTTCACCTGCTACATCTGACTCTGCTTTCCAAGCTTCATTTTTTATGTACAGGCACATCCTTGACTCTACTTCCTGATCCTATAGACATAGTTTGCTGCTGGATGGCTGTATGTCCCACCTGGATCCAATTACCACACAATGAGTCTTTTTAACCGTTTATCTTGTAAGTGCAATTTATCCATTGTTTACTAAATAAATTGTCAATACTGCACTTAGAGGCGCCTTCCTGTCTTTTTCTTGTTACTGCATTAGAGCCTTGCCTCCACTCTTAGAAGAGCTGCCTCAGTGTTACTGCTCCCATCCATCAATCCCTGATATCCATCTGGCACCTTTATCTTACAGCTACAGAGGTTGGGCTCCAACATGCGTGCCCTATATAATATACATACAGTATTTAGGCCTATCATTCCTGAATAAAATTATCATGCTGCTTTCTATCTTTACACTGTTGTGTCATTTAAAGTATTTTAATTCTTGAAGTAAAGCCCCAGTCCGTGCTGCTTGTCTGTAGTAAAAGTAGGCCTAGTCTTAGGCTGGCCATACATTATACAATTATCTTCCAAATTTCTGCCCAATTTCCTTTAGATTTACCTTCAACTGTGTAGTGCAAGGGCCTGCCTAATTGGATACAACTGAAAGTGTTGTTTAGGTTTGTCCTGCTATTATATGGTTTTTGGTAAATCTAAACCAAAAATCTCCAGATAATTGTATAATGTATGGCCAACCTTACTCACTAAAATAGTTCTGCTGTTGGGAAATTTTACACTGCTGTGTCATCCATGGTCTCTTAATTCTTGTAGTAAAACACCTGCCTGTATTTTTTGTTTCCGGTACATTTCGGTCAATTTCCCTTATGAAGAATGTCCTGCTGCTGGCCAATTTATATGGCTGTATCATCTGTAGTCTCCTAAGCATTAAGAAAAGTTTGATATAAATTGACCTATGGCAGGACAGCTGTGGATCAGTAGGAACAGGGGCAGTCTCAAGGAACTACTGGCCAATTTCTAAAGAATGGTTAAAATGGGCCTGTTGGTTAACAAATATTTCAAATTGCAGCACACATATATTAAACAGAGGGAAAAAGGTACAAGGTTTCCCTTAATATTCCATCCAGACTCTTATCCAAGCATGCAGCATGGTTAAAAACTAGCAAACAAACCATACTTTCACACTATCAAAACTGAAAAAAGCAGCTCACCTTATACTCTGATACACAATATACACATACTGTATAGATAGTTATGAAGGCAGCGCTAATTCTCATAAGGCTAAATGTGTATACTTCTCACAAAAACTAAACGTGCAAAACTGAAAAATGTCATATATATATCTATATATAGATATATATCTATATATCTATATATAGATATACTGTATATAGATAAATATATCAGTGCTCAATATAAATGAGCTCACGCCTACAGAAAACCTTTATTTCAGAATCAACATTTTCTATAGAACACTATACTACAAAATACCCTCACAAATGTGGGCCATTGATTGCAGACAAGATTTGTTAATTTGCACACATAAAAAGTATTTTTCCTAATAAAATAATTCAAGACCATGATGCAAAAATGAATACACCCCAATGACAGTCTTTGGAGCAAAGCTAAATTATAGACAACAAAATCCTAATTACCAAGAATTCAACTACAGGTGAGTCTGATTATTCATTAAACAGGTGTCTAGCAAACAGTTGATTATAAAAAAAAGTCTTCCCATTTCATGCTGTCAGCAATGGCACCACATGGAAGACAAATGTCACAAAGCCTCAGAAAGAAAATAATTTCTTTACACAAGAAAAGTGAAGGCTACAAGAAGATCAGCAAAGCTTTACTTATCAGTCAGAATACTGTAGCAAAAGTTATACAAAAATTTAACAAAGATGGAAATGCAACCATCTCACAGAGATGTCCAAGCTGGACATAGAAGTTAACACTTCAACAGGAGCATCTTCTGATGAGAAGGGTTGAAGAAAATTGCCATGCAAGTTCACTGTAGTTAGCTAAAGAAGTAGAAAGCCAAACTGGGGTGATTGTTTTCTGTGACACAATACAGCATACACTGCAGAGGAATGGCATGCATGATGTTGTCCATGTAAACTGTTGGCGCTATATAAATCCTGTATAATAATAATAATAAGTTATATTATTACCCTTACTTTCATGTAATGAGCTAAACAAATGTTCTATAAAACTATAAAAAATTGTTCTTGTCTTCATTGAGATATTGATTAAAATCTTACTTTTAAAAGGGGTGTACTCAATGTATGCTGAGCATTGTATATATATGTACAATATATACTATACAATATATACTATATTGCCAAAAGTATTGGGACACACAAGAACTTTAATGGCATCCCAGTCTTAGTCTGTAGGGTTCAATATTGAGTTGGCCCACCCTTTGCAGCTATAACTGCTTCAACTCTTCTGAGAAGGCTGTCCACAAGGTTTAGGAGTGTGTCTATGGTAATGTTTGACCATTCTTCCAGAAGCGTATTTGTGATGTCAGGCACTGATGTCAGATGAGAAGGCCTGGCTTGCAGTCTCCACTCAAATTCATCCCAAAGGTGATCTATGGGGTTAAAGTCAGGACTTTGTGCAGGCCAGTCAATGTCCTCCACCCGAAATTCACTCATCTATTTCTTTATGGACCTTGCTTTGTGCACTGGTGCACAGTCATGTTGGAACAGGAAGGGGCCATTCCCAAACTGTTCCCACAAAGCTGGGAGCATGAAATTGTCCAAAATGTCTTGGTATGCTGATGCCTTAAGAGTTCCCTTCACTAGAACTAAGGGACCACTTCCAACCCCTGAAAAACAACCCCACACCATAATCCCCCCTCCCCCAAACGTTACATTTGGCACAATGCAGTCAAGCAAGTACCGTTCTCCTGGCAACCGCCAAACCCAGACACGTTCATTGGATTGTCAGACAGAGAAGCATGATTCATCACTCCAGAGAACATGCCTCCACTGCTCTAGAGTCCAGCTTTAGTGCTTTACACCACTGCATCCAATGTTTTGCATTGCACTTGGTGATATAAGGCTTGTATGGAGCTGCTCTGCCATTCCATGAAGCTCTCTATGTACTGCTGCCATTCCATGAAGCTCTCTATATACTGCTGTTGTACTAATCTGAAGGCCAAATGAAGTTTGGAGGCCTTTAGCTATTGACTCTGCAGACAGTTGGTGACTTCTGTGCATTGTGTGCTTCAGCATGCGCTGACAACACTCTGTCATTTTACGTGGCAGCCACTTTGTGGCTGAGTTGCTGTTGTTCTCAGTTGCCTCCACATTGTTATAATGCTACTAACAGTTGACTGTGGAATATTTAGTAGCAAGGAAATTTCACGGATGGGCTTATTGCACAGGTGGCAACTCATCATGGTACTACGCTTGAATTCACTGAGCTCCTGAGAGCCACCCATTCTTTCATAAATGTTTGTAGAAGCAGTCTGCATGCCTAGGTGCTTGATTTCCAATCACCATGGAGGTGATTGGAACACCTCAATCCAATGATTTGGAGGGGCGTCCTAATAATGTTGGCAATATAGTGTGTGTATATACTGTATATACAGATAATTAGTAATACAATATTGAATAAATAAGTGAGACACTATACATACCGAGTGCATGTGCTATAAAAATGAGATACCCTCATGAAGTGCTATACAAAAAATACCAATATCTGTGTTCATAAAAAGTACTCAATGTGCATAAAATATATCCGATGTCCAACATTATCACTTAGTTATGAGGGCAGTCCCCAGGAAATAAATTTTTAGACCTTAGAATTACAGTTGAAGAGGGTACTATTTATTCAGTAGACAGTTGACATTCATCTTGGCTTACATCTGTCCCAAAAAGCCAGTTTCTACGTTTTGAGACTTAATTGTTCCCCGATTGACACCTTCAAAGCCCAGGCTGTCATTTTGGATGTTTTCTAGAGAAAGGATATGTTGATAATACTCTTCACATGACAGTGAAGTCATTGAACATGGAGACATTACCGAAGGATTAGAAACATACGGATACAAAGTTTGACAAACTTGCCACTATCAGCTGTCTGGGGACTGGGTCACAATAGAATAAAAGTAAGTGTACTCCTGTGCAGTGGCTTGCCTAGAACATTTGGCACCTGGGGCTGGTCATTTTTTTTACACCGCCCTCCACAAAAAAAAAAAAGAACTGGTTTGAGAAAATAAAGCAGCATGTGCCTGACAATTATCTTTTGTATTCCATCGTGCTGTGGTGCAAAACAAAAGCTGTCAGGCAGCTGCAGCACCCCCTGCGAGTCTGCGCCCAGTGGCCTGCACCCCCTTTGGCCATACTTCTCTTCTAATGTTACAGGCAAATTGTGTTTGTTATTTGAATATATCCATTATGTGGTATGCAGCTGCTGAGGGTGGATTTTGCTTGAAAAGGATGGGTGCATTTTCTGAAAATCACAGGTTAATTCTCTTTGAAAATGCTAGATAAATATGGCAAATCCTTTTTGAAAATGGAAAACAAGATTTTGCGTCTCAAAATATGTTCAGTTAGCAATGCAAAAGGTATCATCTACATTTTTACTTTCCGTCTATTAAGAATTCAGAATATGACAATTATTGAGGAAGTTCTATTTCCCAAAATGCATCAAAAGCTGCCTGTGAAAGGTTCTGAGATTAAAAAAGGAAATAATTATTTTCCCATCTAACACTGCTAGGAAAAGTGGGGATTGCATATACAAGTATTATATACAATTTATGCTAGAAAGGGCTGGCGGGCATGTGTTTTGGGCCTTGTACAGGCAGCTTTCAATGTCTCTGAAGACCACAAGTCACAGTCAGCAGAAGGAAGGGGAAGCTGCAGATCATTGAAAATCGTTACTGACTGACTTCAGTTATGTGAGCTTAGGCTATAAAACTTCAATACTGTTGCAATATTTCAAATAAACAAAAACCCCAAACCTAATTTCTTTTAGTTTTGAAGTCTAATTTTACTGGAACAAGGTTCCATGGGAGGTAGTTGTGGATTCTCTTTCTGCTCCCATGGAGAATCCTCTAGCAGGCTGGTAACACCGAAATGATGGTGTATATACAGCTCTCATGAACTAGATTGAAGTAATTGTTTTACTAAAGAAAAATGTTTTTTAGTAGTAAGCAGGCATAAGTTACCAGCATACCTATCTTGCTGGGTCTCGAAAAAGTCTGCTCTCCACATATTGGTGGCAATTAAATAGGGCATTTATGATACATTTCTGACATTGTATACGTAGTTGTAAAATTTGTCATCTATCTTGAAGCTATTAAACTGTGTCACCACTTAAAAGTAATCAAAACCAGTATAGAAAAAAATAGAGATCTATTATACAGTATGTCGATTGATTTGGATGTCATGTTTGGGTTTTAGTAGCGCTACATACATTAATATTTAAATATAGTACCATAGGTTGAGTTTTTTATGATAGCGGCTTCTTTGCAAGTGGAGCGCAAACCTTTATTTAATGTTTCTTGTTTAATATTTAGTATTTATCTGACTAAAAATGTTTTTGACATAGTTATTTTTTAATCCTGATCATCGATAAAGTTTCCCTGTACCTCACTGTAAATTTAAGTCTTTATGGCCAGTTGCCTGTGGTGGGAGAGCATTAATTAAAGTCTTCTCTCTGTAGCACCTTCCAGAGAAAGCTCTTATCTCCAGTAGTGGGCTACACAGTTGGGGAACCCAAAGCATGGTTACTGATCAAGAGATTGGCATCATTAACCCTTTCACTGAAATATGATTACTTTGGGGCAGTCATAGAATGTAAATAAACTTATGACTGCAATAGATGCGTTAAACAGAGAAAATGTAATAGGATACCACAGGCTCAATATTGCAGTCTGCATTTTTCAAATGGTCCACAAAATGCAGGCCCATGCAGGGAAAATTACTATACCTGCTCTCCATTATTCAGTATTAAGATCCTCAGGGCCCATTAACACCAGAATGCAGTATGCTGTAATTGTCGTTGTTATACAACAATTCTGCACTGGAAAAATTCTTCTATAACAAATTTGCAATAGATTCATATTAACCTTACTGACATGTACATGAATCTGTCACAATCTGGTACAATTTGTTGTAGCTCATCGAGAGACATTTCTAGTAAATGTCTATAAACCTCTTTATAATTTCGAGTGATTATTGCTTTTTTCTTTCCTGTTCCTCATCGAATTTAGACAAAATTCCCCTTTCATAATATAATGAGATTGTACAGTTTTACTGTATGAATTAGTTGTGTAGAGCTTATGTTGCTATGTTAACAGTTTTGCTTGGATCAATAAAGAATAATAAAAAAGCAAAAATACTTATTTTTGAGAAGATGTTTCTCTAGCCTACTTCCAGTGTTGCAGATTTAAGGTTTTTCGTCACATGATTTGTGCATAGGGAGGCTCAGTCAGCCTGAACTTTGATCTTCTTTTTTAGCAAAGTTCTCATGATCCATTGTCTAGGCCTTAAAGTATAGTGTTGATTTTCTAAAGGCAAATAGGCTGTTCACTTTGCCGGGTAACTTGCACTTTGCATGGGAATTTTCCTTATAGTAATGTAAATGTGCTGAACTTTCACTTTGCAAAGAAATCCCAATCTTGTGCAAACATAATAATAAAAAAAAACCCTATATTTTTGCTTGAACATGATTGGATGATGGAATCAGAAGAGCAATACCTCATTCACTATGGTCTATGTAAAATTCCCATAAAAAGTGCAACTTTCCTTGCAAAATGAACAGTCTATTTTGGAGATTTGGAGGTGGAGGATATGAATAGGTGATACTTTTTTGAGTTAAAAATACATACTATAGATCTAGATTTCTATAGAATTTGGAGATATGGAGGTGGAAGGTATCAATAAATGATACTTTTTTGAGTTAAGAATACACACTATAGAATAGATTTTTTTTTAAAACTAGAGTTTAGTGTCACTTTAATACCCAAGTATAGGTCCACTTTTCATTTTGCAACGTTTAAACACATTCAAACAGTTGGGGAGGCTCTCTTAAGTAAATCCATCTTTCGTATTCTGTGTGTTGCTGTTTTGATGTTTTGTGCAATTATTTGCAAATGTTATAAGCATGATTCACTAAAGCTTTTGAGCCAGAAAATGTGGGTCTATACACACAAATGCTGTGTGAATATGGTCTATCTAGCACAACCTGTTTTGATCTACTACTTTTACTACTGATTGGGTACTACTGATTAAGTACTTTTTATTCTGCAAGCCAAATGACTTAGCCACCAGGTCTTGTGCCCATAAAAAAAAAAAAAAATGGATCCAATAGAAGGGAGGGACTACTGCTGATGCAACACCACAGATATGATGTGGAACATAGCAGATTCCTTTAAATATATTAACTTAAAACATTGATAGTGTTTTTTGAACCCCACTAATTTTATTTCATAAATTTTTCAACAGACATATTTTGGACAGAATTTGCATTAATAGTGCATCCAAGAAGATTGCATTCTCTGTATTTCCAAGTGTCACCCTGACCTAGAATTTTTCAGTTAGATTTATGGAATTGTAAACATTGGATGACTTTAAATTAAATTTATATCATTGTCTGTTTTTTGTTAGTTTTAATTAATTTGGCTATATAATAGTCATTTTAAAAAGTCAGCAGATGTGCTTAGCTTGTCATTTTAAAAGGGTTGTCTGTACGGGGGAAGACAGTTTCTTTATGCTCCCAGAACACAAGTTCTGCTTTATCTGTGAGTCTATGATACATAACAAAATTCAGCACTCCAGAGAAGATAGAATAGGAAAATAGAGTTATAGCTTTTTTTGTAAGGGATTACATTTCAGGTTTTTGTTATGCATTGTTTAACATTTTTAATCCTTTTGGTGCTGGAGCCATTTTTCTCAATTTTTGCACACATATTAAAATGCACATTTTAGGCCTGAAGATTACCAAATCTATGTTTTAAATAAAAAATACACTTTACTTTCATTATACACAAGGGTTGTGTACATGGGTGGGGGGCTTTAATTCCTGTTTAATTTAATAAAACTTGAATTTTTTTTATTTTGCTTTTTACAATTTCTTTTACTTATTTTTCTTTTTTAACTTAACTTTATTGCTATCACAAAAGGGCTGATAAGACCCCTAACTGACATCAGAGTGCAGGTGACAGATTCTCTTTACAGAGAGGCCAGGGATTTATTAGACCCCCAATTTCACCTCTGCACCCTGTTGAAACTGATCAAACACACACTGTGATTGATCAGCTTCTTCCCAGGCCAGGGTTTGACAGCTTTAAACCCAGAAGCTGAGCACTACTGGGTTTATACTTCATTGGAGTTCAGTAAACAAATCCTGGCACATTCCATGGGTGCCATGGGCACCCAGGAGGGAAAGGTGATCTTGAGTCACATGGCAGGCAAAAAGGACAGCACCTTCACACAGATGTAGAAATGATCAGGAGGCTTTACAGCTGCCCAAATTACTTTTACAAGAAAGCTGGCAGTCTGAAGAGAGTAATAGTTATATCTGCAGCAGCTAAAGGGTTAAAGGACAACACTGTGTATAAAAAGCAGACATTGTTGTTATATTTTTAAACTAGCGAACTCGTTCTTAAACATATCACA